TTATGTAATTTCGTGAATGTTTTGATATATTTGGTCAAAAACATGAATGATGAAAAACTAATTGAATTTGTGCGCACACATCTTGTGCTGTAGAACCAGCCAAATTCAAAATACATGGAATTCCGTTTTCTTCTCGTTTCTTCTTCTTCAAATTTTGCCATTTTGACCTCACGGTAACACAACTGCACTGTCAGAGAACGGAGAAAAATACTGACCGGTTTAAATTGAAAACACTGTGAGCTCACGTCAGCGAGAATCACTGGTACGTCACGGCACTGTCACGTCACGGCTGAGTGTGAATGGACCTTAAATTAATTGAACCAATTTAGGCATTTTCTTACAAAAAATCAAATGATAATATTTCATTACGCACTAGTAGAATGTCACCTAACGTGTGGAATAACAGAGCTCTGCAAATAAGTCGCTAATAGAATTGGTTGAATATATACATATATTCTAAAAGTAATAAACAATAAACCCATAGTATACCCATCTGAACTTTTATACGCTGGAACAGAAATACTTATCATACAAAAATTGCATATTGTACAAGAATTATAATTATAATACTAGAAACAAGAACTCTCAAATTTCTTTGCTTAACCCAAAGAAAGACATCATGCTGAAATCATTTATCTATCAGGCTCCACTATTAAGCGGCCTCCAGACTCACGGCGAGATGCCCCGAGAACACCCGAGAAGTGTGAATGTGACGACTTTCTCGCAGGTTCGTTCTCGGGCTCGCCTGTTCTCCGGACGATGTCGGTACTTTCGTCCGCTTCAAAGGGTTTTCTCGGCGAGAAAGGAGACACTATCTATATTCTCGTTTAGTCTCGTGCTAATTTCAGCGGCAGGGTGATTTGTTTTATACTCGTATATGCTACAGGAGATAATAATATAACTATCACATTTATTCTTTCAAAGTTAAAAACAAATACAAACCTTGTTCTATTGCGATGAATTTGTGTCATCCACCATCGTCTGGGCCTTTTCCTTTTCTTAACTGTATTTATTTTAATATTGACTAGGTGATAGTATGCTAATGCACACAATACCAAGGCCGCTGCACTGTCAAAATCGTCCATACCGGAAACGGGCGAGAACATTACTCAAGAAAAGTTCGTGAGTATGAACAGGTACACTAGGTTCGCGAGAAATATCGGCGAGCCTCCACGCCGAGTCTTCTCGCCGTGAGTCTGGAGGCCGCTATAAAGCCTCTCCACACCCACGCGAGATTCTCGCGAGAAAGCGAGAAAAACACGAGAAATGTGAATGTGGAACCAATTTTCACAATACTCTCAGGTTTTCGGTTGTTCTCTGATTTTTGCCGGTTTTTTTTTTTTTTTGGCGCGAGACAAAAGAGCTAAGAACGCGAGAACAGGCGAGAACTTAAGTACTGGCTCCACACTCGCATGTTTCTCGGTGGCAGGTGACTCGCCGAGCATAAATATGAGCCAGATTTGGACGAACGAACTAGAATTGGCATTCCTAAAATATTTTCAAGCAAAACCGATTTAGTGGAATACACATTTAAAAGAAATAATAAATAAAAATAAACTAAAAGCCCACGGTGCGTGGAATCGTAATTAGTACCTTGATGGAATTACTCATTAAATAATTAAAATGGACAAAATCGTTATTACCTAGCTACAGACGGTATAAAAATAAAGTTAGGAAATCGGACGACATTTAGTTCTGCATTCATCGTCATAAAGTTCTCGCTGAGATTCTTGCCGATATTATTGACGAGAGTCTCGTGCGTGTCTGGAGCGGCTTTTATAGTACTCGTATAATAACATACCAGCAAAAATTAAAAAATACAATAACATCATAACATATCGTGGTCATTTAGTTTGGTAACCAACATTTATTTTTATTTAATACACTTATGTATTTTTTTTTTCACGTACAAGGATATGTTTATTGAAATTTATTCACCATCCTGTATATTAATTTTGATAAATTATTATTACTAATATTATTTTGGCTGATAGGAGTTCAGATCACCGAGGACTTGATCTGACACGGGCTCATCTCGACAATAGCGGCAGCTGCTGGGAAAAATCTAGGCTAACATGTATCCGGGCTAGGAAGTACTTTCCTCCATATAACCTCACTTTGTACAAAGCCCAGGTAGGACCCAGTCTTAGGTATCGATGACACCTGTAACGGACAATCTCAAGTCTCTTTTACACCGACAGACGGGCCGTCGGCGATCTAGCTCTCTGCTACCGGTATGTCAACGGGACTTGCTCCTCAGAGCACTCCTAGATGGTGCCGTCGCGCGATGTCCCTGACAGACAGACAGGCCTGACTTCGGCCACCCATCCCTAGGATATCAGGGTAGTGGAACAATCTACCTGAGGAGGCTTTTCTCAGTTCTACTAATCTTAGGCAGTTCAAAAATTGGATTAACAATGTTACTTTAAGCTCCTCATAGCATCATCTGTGCCTTAGTATTTAGGCTTCTGCTGCCTACTCGGCTGATTCGGTATACAAAAATTCCTTGAAGAGGTCTAAATTGATATAAAATTAAAATAAAAATGTTTAAATCTTCACTTATCGCCAATAAATAACGCTTAAACTACTTGTGTATCTAGAACAGTAGCCACCTACCTTTTCAGTGTGTTGAGCTACTTTGATAATATTGAAATAAGCATTGAGCCACCTAGTCGTAAGCAATGTAAGCCAACTTAAATGAAATTATACAACACAGTTGTATGCGACATACATGTGTTTATTTTACTAATACTAATACTAATACATACTAATAAACTTAGATAAACTAATAACTAATGTATACTGCATAACTACATCCATTCCTACCAATCGAAGGTGTTTGAAAAATAAACAAAATTTTTCGTCAACTACAATGGCATGTCACATACGATTTAATAAAGGTAACTAAAAATAAAAAAACATATTCTAAACCAAAACATGATCAGTTAAAAAATGCGTGTTCAATGAGAAGCCTGACACTCAGACTCACTGACATTTTTTTTAATGTTTGGATTATAATTTAATACTGTCATTCGAATACAATTATCCAAATGAACATGTTTAAGTCGATTACGGTATTTGTTTTTAATAAACTTCATATTTGAAAAAGGAGATTCGCACAAATGGGTTGAACTAAATAACGCTTTCACTTTCAAGGCAACACGACATAAAACTAATATTTATCTTTACTTACTGAAAACCAGATACATTTTGTATTTGAGACTAATGATTTTAAAACTAAATCATTTTGATACGCAATCACTTCCATTTCTGTCGCAGCGATGTCTTCGCTAAAATTCTGCGTAGCAGAAGTTGCAAACTGATGGATAACAATTTCCACAACAAATTGCGCCACTACAGCAATTTCATTGAAATCCTTGAAACGATTTTTGAAGTTATCCGTCAAGTTAGAGACTATTTCTACATGACATCTACTGTCATATGGTTATAATGGACTTTGAGATATCTTTTCTGAAAACACAGGAAAATGCCTGGCATCGCCATCGACTTCTTGATAATTTTATATCAGAAATCATTTCTGCTAGTTCTTTGTATCTCCCCTGAAACTGCAAATTAAGGTCATTTAATTTTTCTGTAATATCCACAAGACAACCAAAATCTCTAAGCCAGATTGAATTGTCCAGTTCCCTAATCGGTTATCACTTTGTTTGAAAAATTGAACTATGGCAGATATGATATCATTAAAACGTTTCAGCACTCGTCCCCTACTTAACCATCGGACTTCAGAGTGAAGAAGTAGTTCCCGTATTGACAGTCAATTTCATCGGCCAAAGTTTTGAATAATCTTCTTTGTAACGCTTGAGCTCTAATCTTGTTCACAATTTTTACTACCAATTTCATAATGTTATTTAGTTTTAGAAAATGTCCACATTATGCTTGCTGATGGTAATGCAGTAGTAACAGAGAAAAAACTTTCATCTTTATGACATAACCACACGAGACCCTTATCACGACCAACATAGCTGGAGCGTCATCGATTGTCAAGCCTACCATTTTCGATATTGCAATTGTCTCAGAAGAAATAGTATTTTTAAAAGAAGAAAACAAGTCCTTACCAGTAGTCTGCCCTTTTAGTGGAAGAAACTTCAAAAGATCTTCTTTAATCGTAAAATCACTAAAAACCATCCTGACGAACACGGCCATCTTAGAGGTGTCAACGACATATGTGGATTCATCCAGCTGCAGTGAGAAATAGGCACAGTTATCGAAGTCATTTCTTAACTGTAGAACTATATCATTTCTCATTACTTTTACTCGTCTCATCTCTGTATTAGCAGAAAGTTGCATCCATTTTATAGCAGACACTATCTCGTCTTTATTTCTAAATTTGGCAAATAATGAATCTGCAGCTTCTAAATACGCCTGTTTTATCATTTCCCCGCCTTCATAAGGTTTTTTCTTTTGTGTAATTATTTGGGACACCCGGTATGATGCTTCAGTTTCAATCTTGCTTTTGTCGATTGTTTTTAAAAACATTGTCTGTTGTCCAATTAACTGATTTTTTAATTGTTTCAGTTTTTCCATTCAGTTTTAAACTGAGCGCACTGTCGCCACGCCTTGCGTATTTATTCCGTTCAAAGTAATTGAGATCGTTCTCGAACAGATCGCTTACCGCAGTGTTGCCGCTGCTTCTGTTTAATATGAGAATTTACAAAATTCACGGAAGCTTCTATGATTTGTACAGCTTTTTAAAATATGTTGTGAGCCACCAGAATTGCCTTTGCGACCTACCGGTAGCTCGCGATCGACGGGTTGGCGACCACTGATCTAGAATATCAAATAACAAATAAATTTATTTATATATATATATATATATATATATAAGTGGGAACTACTTTATTTTTTATAAATACAATCAGCTCCTGCCCTTCAATGTTCTTCCCAGTTTTATTGAACCGCGCCCATGAAAGACAAAACACTATCGTCCCGCAGCTCCCGTTTATCACTTCAACATCGAGTGCCCGCAATAAAGCCCACAAAGTGAATACAGAAGACAGCAACAAACACCAAACACCAAAGCGGTGTCAGTGGTGGCAGATAAAACAGACAATGGACAAGTTTAAACAGATGTGTTGGTGTTTCAAAGTGTTCTTTCACGTACTTGCTAATCTGACCAGTCGTGCGTGCCAAGAGACTTCTCAGGCCTTTTACAAAATGTGCTGCGTATTTTGCTGCTGGTCGACCATAGGGAAGGAATCCACTGTTCAAGGTAAATATCACACATATACAGGGTGTAAAGTTAGTGGTGGATCAACGGAAGTCAGGTGAAAGAGGGCCTCAAAACCTATCGAATGAAATTTTCAGGGTTTAATCTACAGGGATCGAAATACTTTTTACAATAAAATGAATTATGAAATACAAACTCATTTTTTTACCTCCCTCAGAAGTTGAGGGATGGAAGAGGTTTTTCACAAAAAATTAATTCAAGATTTTTTACGTTGATTTCTAATTACTCTGTTAAAAAGTGACATAACCATTGCTAAAACTAACCATTTAGCTCATTCATCTCAAAAAAAAATCACAGCGATAATCCAAATGGTTTAATTGTAATTGCGATTGAAAGTTCATTATCCCGTTTTTTTCCAAAATTTCACAAAATTGCAAATATCTCCTGAGCTACAAAATTTCGGACTACACATATAGGGATTCATTCGATAGGTTTTGAGTCCCTCTATCACCTGACTTTCGTTCATCCACTACTAACTTTACACCCTGTATAAGCTGCCGATTGGGTTTGATCAAAGCTTCCGCATCGGTTTCAGTCACATTCAAAAAATACACTTGCGGTCACACATTTGGCTTTCGGCCAATAAAGGGAGAAGTTTTGGCCAAAGTTTTGCGAACATACTGTGGAGCGATGAAGTAAAAATCTGCATAATCTTGTTCGGCGAATTTTGGAACAATTAGAACACTATTCAGAAGGTGCTAAGAAACGTAACATTTGGGGAGAATCGAATTTGACTGACACCTTGAGTTCAATGTATAAGAGGGAGAAGTGTGTAAGAACCCATATTTTAGAAAGAGAGAGGACGTTGCCTAACATGATTTTGAATTGTGAAATGTGTCGAATCTGTGAGGAATCGATTCCGGATCGGTCCCAACGGCGCTCCATTCTGGGTCGAAATAAAATTTGTGGGAATATGTGTGAAGACATGCATTTACTGTTATCTCCTAGCAAGGACTGCCTTTTTGTGAGAGTTGCGACTGAATATAATAGAAGCATGCCGTTCGGTGACTCCTAATTCAATATTTTTTCTTTAATTTAATGTTGTAATTGCTCTTTTAATTATGTTTGATTTCCACCGATGGTGATAAAATTACCACATCCTGAGTTATTGTTACATTTTCCGAAAGCTGCGGTCGGAATATGTAACAAATAACGTCACGCAATAGAAATTGTCACTGCCTGCGTGAACGAAGGCCTGGAAAGGTTAAATTTCTAGATATTGGAGATCACAAATCTAAATGCAGGATGTTACCAGTGATGGCACTGTCTGTCATATAAAATACACCATTTTATACGTGTAAGCAATTGCATTTGTCTACATTTTTAAATTCGTGCAGATAATGTGGACAAAGTAGACAAGGTAGACAATGTTCCTAATCCAGGCGGTCATTTCGGAAATAATTTGTATCTGATATAACGATTGATATAACGAACTATTTTCTCTTATTTCAGACGCATAAAAAATTATTTCTATGATGCGTAGCACATCGTTGGAAAGGTAATAAATCACAGAGCTTTTATAAATAAAGATAAGTTCCAAAAAAGGTATAATTTTTTGTAATCGAATTTTGAGTTTCAGTGTTTTTCGTTATCTGCACGATTTTACGACTTTGTAAGGTCGTAAGTCATTTGTTGCGACCGTTTGTACGAACTATTGATTTACATTACAGAATTTTGTGTTACAACGATATGCATGCGCAATGTTCGGAAATTCGGCATAAAAACGACAAAAATCATATCGTACAAACCGGCCCACTTAGGGCTTCCCGGTTTTCAATAAAAATCAGTAAATAGTCTCCCCGAGTACCCAAAAAAGTTTGTGGGTACATGTACCAAGCACCCGTTTAGTGTAGTTTATTATCATCTGATGAAACCGGTTAAGGTACTCTGCAGTATATTTGAGCTACCAATTAATACCAGTCTACATAAATTTATTAAACGTTCAATCCTGCAGCACAAACATTCGAAGATAGAAAAGCTAGTCTACTATGCGGTGTTGGTATGCTACTGTTTTTTTTTTGTTTGAAATTTACGTAGGTATTGTACATTTATATTTTCGTAAAAAATCATGGTTATAGTTGAATTCGACTGTATTTAACTTATTCTAAAAAAATATTCGAATGACCACTTCATTTCAAAAACTTACTATATTGCAAGGTATAATTTTAAAAATATTCCATGTCATCGGGTCCTTCATAAGTAACTCTGTGAATATCTATATTTATCAAATCTCCATTTTAAATTATGCCGTTTTTTATTGGAAATACCTACTTCAATAAAGACGATAAGGATTTGACTATTTTACGTATGTCAGAAAAAAAAATTACGATTATAGAAATTTACGGTTTATCTCCGAATCTACATTCAAAAATTTTTCAAATGTCGTTTTGATATTCTCGAAAATAATCAGAAAACAACTTTATTGGAGTTACCTATTCATGATTATCTAAATATCACGTTTTACCTTCTTTTAACAAGTTTCCAAGCAATATTGCTTTGGAACCGAGGTCACAGCTTATAAAAACGTACCTAGGTATGTAAGGATTCGTTATTCTACCACATTATTGACATTACAACTCACATTTACCCTATACCCCGTCGGCGTTCTAAGTAAAAATGGTAGTATCACGTATATACGTGATATTCAAAGCATACATTTTCACATCCAGTGCAGTTACCCTGCAGGACAACATTATTAAAAATGCATTGTTAAATCATAAACAATTCAAACAGTTGGATGTTTGCATGCGCCAACGGCAAATATATACCGCAATTCTGCCGTATTATCGCATGCAGGTGTAAATGTCTGTATTTACACTACACACCCTCTAAATAACATGCGAACATAATTACCATCGCGAATATTATTTCAATTTAACGTCCGAAAATATTAGGTTTTATGCAGAATTCCACCATTCGGCGCTCTAATCCAGGATTTGCAACAGCACGAAAAATAACAGCGCAAATCGAGTTCATGCAGTTGATTCTTTATATTCAGTGTCACATGTAATGTACAGGTAAGGACGTTTCAGTCCGGACAGTGCTGAATTTTTTACATAGTAAATGTTTCGAGAATACAGATTCGGGACATTAAGTTTTTTTTTATATCGAAGCAGCCAGTCAGCCAGGAGCCTAAGTACCAAGGGCACCGCGGAGGCTATGAGGAGCAAAGAAACTTTGTTATTCCGATTTTTGAACTGAGTGGGATTAGTAGAATTAGGAAAAGTCGTCCCACGTAGATTGTTTAACAATCTCGATACCGGCTTTGGAAGTGAGAAGATCGACACGGGTAGGATGGGAGGCCGAAGACAAGCGGGTCTGTCTGTCAGACACATCGCGCGGTGGCAAAATAGGCTAGGACTCTGAGGAGCCAAGCCCGTTGGCGTAGCGATAGAAGAGATCACCGGCGGCTCGTCGGTGCGAAAGTGTTCCGAGACAGTCCGTTAGATCAGTCGAACATCCATCCTCTGAACTGCATCGAGCATAGATAATGTAGAGGCTACGCCTTATCTGGGCCTGGAGTGAGGAGGTCATGTGGAGAAAAGCACTCCTCAACCCTAATCGGCCATCCATCAAAACCGGATGAGCGCTAGGGCTCTTCTTCTGTTAGTTAGCGGTTACCTCCAGGAAATCGCCGCCGGTCTTCTTTTTTTCAGCTCAGCGGTAGAGATTTGCTTGTCGCTCTCAATTCCTGCATGTAGAGTGCTGTCATCGCCAAAGCTGTGGATCGAATTGATAGTACAGTAAATCAGGTTGTTGATAGGCAAGGGTAACAATGTCGAAACCAGGACCGATCCCTGGGCAACACCCGCGTTGGTATTCTTGGACGAAGAGTAAGACCCATGAATTTGTACGCGTACATCCCGTGCTGTAGAACCAGTCAAATTCAAAATACGTGGACTTCCGTTTTCTTCTCGTTTCTTCTTCTTCATCTTTTGCAGGTGGTAGACGGTCTCTGACTGTCGGCGGATCTCCTAGGCGGGGCCAGAATGTGCTTGTACGAGTACACGTGTTCCCTCGCCAGAGTCCTTGTGGCGTCCCCCTTTCCCCTGTGTTTCCCCCTATAGCACCACGGGAACCCCATGGATGTTTAGGCCTTAGGCCTTCGTGGTAGTCGGAGTATAACAAAATCCAGAATTAATGCAATAATTGCAAGTTCATCCTCTGAAAATTTTGCCATCTCGACCTCACGTTAACACAACTGCACTGACATTTGTGAATTTAAAACACTCTGAGCTCACGTCAGTGAGAATCACTGGCACATCACGACTGAGTGTGATTAGGCCTTAAATTTGTCGGTTTTTGGTGCGCATGGATAACATTTTTACACAATTCTTCAATACTTCGATGATTGCCTTACAAACCTCGGGAACTAACTTTGATATTAATTCTTTGGGCACACGAAAAAGATACTGCAAACTAACGTACGAATTTCCAGTTGCTGAAAACCTTAGCGTCAATAGTAATCTCTCACCCACAGTTATGGCATCATGATGATTTATTTGTATTTGTATATTGTATTTTGTCATCCAATAGTGAACACAACTCAAATTGGTTTGCATCCATCCATGCAAAATTAGCTTTAACTGCATAATTAACTAACGCGTTGTAAAGCTGAGCACCAGGTATATTCTAAGCGGATCTTATATGAAGCTCTCATTCAACGTCTTTACGGTTTTTTGTGATTTTTTTCGTAAATATGCAAAAAGAATGTAGGTTGTTTCTGCCACGGAAATTCAACTTTGTTGCTGCACGTGTGACTCTATAGCGAGCTAGAGTTCAACTGTAGTCGGATCAGTGTGCATCGGCGGTTTTTTTACATCTTAGGCATTGCGAACCGCTTGGATATATATGCTTCAGGACTCGACGTTGACATGCTTGTTCTCTACAGTGGGCTTACTGAACACCTACGTGTATGCCCTCGGGTTATCCCGTCGACACCTGTGTTAGTGTTGCATTCCACTTTTCAGTCCCAATTACTCACCCGAATAAGCAACCGTCAGTTGGGCGTAAATGCACGTCTGCACCTTCGTCTGCCTGTCCGTCTGTCACCATACTCTCTCGATGCTCCAGCGTTAATTACATAATGATTAGCATTCTGAAGTTCATTTGTTTCCTGTTCCAGAAATAATCAGGGAGGCCAGGGAAGACTTCTACAAAGAACTTACCAGGCAATCGGCAGAGGAGCTGCTGAGGCCCAGGCAGAACGGAACGTTTGTCATCAGGTTTGTAGTTAAAGACTTTGATAGTGCACGAACACGAAAAATCGAAAGTTCACGTAAGAAATCTCATTGGAACATCGAACTTTCGATCTGCCATCTTTGTACATCTATCTAAAAAACGGAAAAAATTGATGTCATTGTGGTACGAGCCGTAAGTCTTTTTTCCTGTCCCTTCTCTCCATCCTTGAACGATAAATCCGGTCCCTAGCTTTGCAGACAACAGCACAAACTGATCTCTTCGGTTAAGCTAAAGAGAAACCGACATTCTAATCAAAGACTTTGTGATTACCTATTGCAAAATTTCGTTATTGGACCTCATAGTAGTCCCATAATTCCCTATAATGTCTCTTATTTGACCTTCGAAAAAACGTGATGTATTCGGATTTTTTTTGTATACTTCAGCTTCCACGAAGGCCTAAGGCCCAAACACCCATGAGGTATCGTGGAACTATAGGGGGATACATACAGGAGAAAATGGGGAGACGCCATACGGACTCTAGCGAGGAAACACGTCTGCATGCAGCATGCACACATTCTGGCCTCGCCTACGAGATCCGCTGGGTGGTACCTCCGCGTACGACAGTCAGAGACCGTCTACCGCCTACGGACCATCACAACATCCATAGCCCAAAGACGGGATTCTGCTGCCTTTAGCTACCCAAAGACAAAAACAAGTTTGTATTGTATGAATTTTGATCAGTTGACCTTATAGTGAACCCTACCCTGAGGTGATGTTGTCAAATCAACCCCGAATTCGGAGTCAGCTACCCCAAAAACCCCAAGATAGCATTATTTCAGTTTGTTTTGTGTGAATTTCAATCGTTTGACATTAAAATGACCTTTACCCTGAGGTATCGGACCAAAGCCCAAATTCGGATTTAGCAACCCCAAAAATTAGTCTGTATGGTCTGGCCCATAGGTTTTAACACTTTTTGTGTGCCAGAGTTATTATTGTTCTCCACATACATATACACGTGCAAAAGACATAACGCTCCTCCAGAGGCTGTTGGGTAAAAATACGCATGGCAGGCCTCGCAAAAATGCTGGGTGTCCGCAGAAATGGGGTTTTCCTTTACACGACATGTAGTTCTTGAGAAAATTAGTGGATTTTCTTAGTGGCATATACACCAATGTCTTAAGACAACCGAGATATTGGGCTCCGCAAACTCAGTCAAACCTGAATCAAACCGAAGCCAGTTCTGTCCTATCCCTCCATCACGTCCATAGTGCCAGCGCCAGCGTACAGTTATATGACGTACGAGTACGATGTAAATGCGGATTTTACGACAGAGCCGTACTTGGAATTTCAGTTCAACTGTACAGTGAGTACTTTGTCATTTATTTTTTTACATGTTCGCTCACGTTTCACCACACATTAGCTTTGTTATATCAAGCGTAGTTGTTTCTGAAAAGGAAAACCCCAACTTTGTGGACACACATAATAATATTGTGTCTTTATTTTTGGGTTAAAAGTACAGACAAAAAACTCATTTGATGAGGGAGGCGGCATTCAACACCGTTGCTCTTCCATGCAACCCTTGTACTCGTATATACTCTGCAGTTCAATGGAAGTGACCACATTTATTAAACTTCTTAGAATTAAAACATATTTGCCATCTTGAAGTGTGTTTTGCACACTTAAAGCTTTAATATCTTCTTTCTCCTTTTAACATAGTTAACTGCACAACAATAAGTAAGGCTTTGATCAATTTTGAAATTGTAACATGATTTTTGTATTTTCTGACAAAATTTTAACTGTCTCTCTGATGGCCTCTGTTTCAGGCCTTCAAAATCTTTCCACCTAGGCGTACTCTCAGTTATCCAAGACAACAGAATCTTCCATCTGAGCATCAGAAAACGTGAAGATGGTCTAGTAGCTTTAGGGAACGAAAAACCCGATGAAAAGTGCTTCACAAGCTTGGACTGTCTCATCAATTATTACATAAGCAATTACCTTTTGTTATACTCTGAGGGGAAGGAATATTCTACTTTGTTGCTACCTTATAAGGATAATAAAAATGATGTTGATTAGCGACTGTGCAGTTTATATCTCCAGCGAGAAAAATGGGGCCGATAAATCTAAATTCTCCAGCGCAGCATAGCTTGGAAAGGTTGAGGTTAGTTTATAGACCTCAACAATAGGTTGTTTAATACCAGGAAAAGTAACGGAACAATTCTGTATTTTTCCCAGTGAAAGATCTTTCTAAAAAAGCCAAAGTCAGGTCGATACTAGTTATAAACAAGCAGTTTGCTGGTGGTCTTCATTTGACCTTCAGCCTCAATTGCAAGATAAATTGAAGGTCACCTTTTGCCTTTTGAATAGAATGTCCACGTTTTGCTACCAGCAATCAACAGAACTAAAAATTCTGTTTATGTATTAAAATCGTCAACGTCATATCTAAAGGCTAAATGAGGCTAGGAAGAATTCTTAGAAGTTCAACAAGATTATTGATGAAAAGAATTATTCAAGACAGGTATTTAGTAAGCTTTAACAAAAGCTTCATAGGTGACCTTGTTTTATGTGCTAATACTATCATGACCTTCAGGCTCAAGCTCAAATCCATGGTCTATATTGGAATGCTTGTTCACAGTTAGCCAAGGTCTATATACTAACTTTGAATAAGGTGTTTGACGGTGGTCTTGGATTTGACCTTGAGTCTCATCTTCAAGCTGATTTAAAGGTCAACTCTTGCTATTTAAATAGAATGCTCTTTTTTCGCACCGGTAATAATAGGATTATTAATAGAAGAATTAAAAAGGATAGATGTTTAGTAAATTTTAACAAGAATATCAATAGTGACATTAGACTCAAACTTGAAACTCACCGTCAAGTATTTTCAATCCCAACTTTTTTACGTTCTCATATCTAACCATTCGAGGTCAAATCCAAGGGCAATGTTGAAATCCTTGTTTAAAGTTAGTAAAGACCTAATCTTCAAAAGTACCTTGCCCGGAAAAAATGAAGAACTTTTGCTTGTGTATTATGTATTTAACCGTAGTTCATTTGACGGTTTTGCGCTGTGTGTCATATTCCAATGCAGCTTGAGTTCCGCACATGCTTCCGTTAATCAATCTACTTACTTATTCCATATGGGATTGATGACGTAACCACCAAAAGCTGTGAAAAAAAACATTATCCCTCCTTCCTTTGTAATGCACTAAATTTTCAAAAATATATTCGAATGGTGGATTCGGACCTGAGTGAAATAATTTCCATTTAGACCCTTTTCTCAGTTGCTCGTTGGAAGTCCCTAGATTAATACAGGATATCCCTACTTCCGTTGTAGACCATCACACCCTGACTTTAAAGCACCCTACTTCAGTTTTCTTAAATCTTTTCAGCTTTTTACGAAACTTCAAGGTGTTCCGTAGAAATTCAATCCCTCTCAACGTCAAAGGAAAGTAAATGAAACGTGATAACGCAGACTGGAAATAATAATAAAAGGCAGATTTTGAAATTTATCACGCGTATTTATGGTAAAGTTGATAAATGGTCCAAAACGACGTTTATGATTTTCTAAAAATTGTGACCTCTTCGAGAAAATTTTGGGGAACAAGTCTCCTTAGTAACTTTCAACAAGGATTTTACTGGTGACCTGAACTCCTGCCTTGAATCTTACATTCAAAGTCATTTCAAGGTCAACCTTTTTAACGACAATTGAAAATTTTATGTTCGCTTGTATTAACAAAGCGAGGATCAAGGTCAAATTCAAGGTCAATATTATAATCCCTATAAAAGTATTAAGGTCCACTGTGCGCGGAACACAAAGCAGGGTCACTTATTTAGATCGGACTAACCTCTGAAGAGCAGTCGTGTATTCCTGGAATAAGGTGATCTTGTCCTCGATTATGCCACCGCCTTCTAGACTGTCAAAACATATAAATATGCTCGATTCAGTGCCCTGAATATCTTCACAGTAACGGGCGGCGGTGCATATTATATAATTTAATCAAGACAAAATTAACCGTGAACGTGCATTCCCGCGAAGTGTCATCAGTTGTTCAAAGCCTGCTAGACAACAGTTTGTAATACGTTGGCGCGCTAGCTGGTTAAACAAAAGGCTTTTTGAAGTGGCGCCATGCTCAGGTATTCCGGCATCGCAGCCACCAAAATGCAGATGGGATAATTATTTGGCAAGCCAGTGGCGTGCGCATGAGCTTGAAAGAGGTCTAAACTGTCTGAAAAAGTAAAATAATTCTTCTATCCAATACTATCCGTAGGGTCAACCCATTCAGTAGAAATTGAATTATTTATCTGACATGTCAAATTCTTCAACTACTTATACGTCTTCACATGGTTTGTGACTACAAGAATTACTCAACACATCCATCTCCCTCACATGTACATATACAATCGGCCTCTATGCGCATACGTTTATTTGTGTAAGATCACAGATCATGTTTTTTAGTTTTCTCTCACCGCTTGAAAACCTTTCCTCCACTTGGTTGTCAAGGGAGTGCCTTTTACTTCCCACAGCTACTGAGAAGGAAATTTTGAAAAAGAGATATTACATGTCCGCTAATCCTTGGCACATCTATAACTTGGAAAGTTGAAGTTTCCACTATGCCCAAGACAAAAAAGCATAACAGTTTTTGAAAGTCGGCACAGTGGCGGAAACCCACGTGCCGTATTTACCTGAACAGCTGAGAAGAGGTCAACGATGTAACAATAAAATTGTATCCACTAGGGCAATATGATTTATTGAATATAAATAGTCGGGTGGGATGATAACATTAGGGATGTCGTTATTGATGCGTGAAATAGCGACGTTCACGAATTCAGGGAATCTGGAGATATTTTGTGGAATAAACTATCCAATCTATTTTTAGTATCTTTCCCACAAGAGACTTGTGCCAGCGCGTACAGGTGTCCTCAATTACTAAAAAAAAATAATCTCACAAATGTTTCTCCAATCATATTCATCATATTGCATGACCAGCTGTAAGGGTGTCCATAGCCGGCCAACATTAAGTCTAGCAGAACGATAAAACCTTAATTCAGATACAAAACATCATGCGTATCCAAAGCACATGATTTCAATTTTTGCCAAATCAACAATGCTCTTTTTCACTGATACTCATTCTAGTCTACAGCCTTATGCCAAGGTACAATGGTTTTCAAAGCCGGCAAACAATCAAGATACCATAGCATACAAGAGTTGACCTTGGTAGTGTACGTGATGCATCTTGCATAGAGAAATCCAAATATCAATGACGAGGTAATGTGTACAAAAGAGAAGCGCTAGAAGCATGCAATACGTAGGTTGGATCTTTCCGAGGTGCTTCTATATCTAACACGCGTATTGAACGCTTCTTGCGCTTCTCTCTCCTACACATTACAACTTCAGAGGTCTCTCTCATACACATTACAACTTCAGTGGTATATGGTTTTGTCTGTATACCAAGTTCATTTGTCCAGAATTGAGAAGGAAGTACAGAGTAAATCTACTTGACGCCATTTTATTTTGTTTACCTGTTGTTGATCTTTGATACCTGAAGATACAACTAAAATGTTGACAATATGCGTTAACTTTATTGTAGTATTTTCAGAATGTGGTTGAAACATATTTCCTGTGTTTGTAAAGTGCTTGGGTTTAGTCACTGGATTTTAAAAATTAAACGTCGTTTTTCCAAAGCTATATTGATTCTGCTCAAAAAGTGTCTCTTTGGATTCCTTATTTTCTCTAAATTATATATATTTTTTATATTATAGTTTCTAATAGCGATAAAATAGGGTGATGTAGTTAACAAAATAATTTTTATTTATAAAGTGTCTAGCAATACCGATACTCTTATATTCTGTTGCAAAAACCAATGTCGTACTGTTGCTGACGAAAACTGGATTGATAAAGGTGCTTTAGAAAAAATGATGTACATGTTGATACTAAATTCATCTCAATTTTCGAAAAATGTAAAAGTGCACAATCGAGGACGAACGAGTTAAAAAAAATGAAAATGATGCATCCAAACCTATATTTATATGAATTTTTTTGTCATATTGTCTTTCAGTTTTTCTGACTGCAAAACAACAGATTTATAGACGCTCCATAAGTTAACGTTTCGAAGTATTATTATTTAATTGGCAAACGAGACCACGAAACTTTTAATTTTAGTGAATCAATATTTGATCTAATTTAGTAGTAATTGTTGATTCTGTCAAAAAAACAAAAAAATACAGATCTCAAAATCCTACGTTTAAGTCAATATTTTCAAGAGATCCAACCCTCAGAACTCCCCCAGTTCCACCACTGTACGTCCTCTTAGTGTATGCAATAGTGTTTTGGCGTACAACTTAGCCTGCACGAATGCTGATTACGAAGTAGTATTTTGTTTACTTGAAGCTTCATTTCGGGAACTGCAGCGAAAGACAAACAAAGGGATAATGCAAGAAACATGAACGGCACAGGATATATCCCCTACATACGGTTGTATATCTGTAGGAACGACTGTTTAATCCTCATCTTTATATAAATCGCATGAAAGCAGAGCTGGTTCTTGTTACAAAGGAAAATAAATAATACAAATTATATGAAATATACAGGGTGGCGCATCGAAAACGAAACAGACGCATTTACTGGCAGCTCAATTTTTTTTTGAAAAACGCTCAGACACGTCTATTGTGTTTTCGAGGGGACACAAGTTTGCCAAAAAATCACGTTAGCAAGTGCAGCCCCCTAAGCGGGGGTGACACCACCCCCAAAATCTTAAATGGAAAGGGAGGTCGAGTGATACCTTATTTTAAAGGTCTTTCAATTCCCTTTATAATTATATAAAATTAATGTACTTCAGTTCAGTAGTTTTGAAGATTTATTGATTTAAAGCTTAAATAAAACTAATACATCATCATTAGTGGAGATCAATTCATTTGGCAGCAAAATAATTTAAAAATGAAGAATGAACTGACCCGTTAGTCAAGTAAATGTTGAAAATGGTCACCATGACTCTCCATGCAATAATAAAGATTTTGCTCAAAACGTTGCCGCACGTTTTGCAATATTTGAGGAGTAATTTGAAGGCACTCATTCACAATTCTTTGTCGCAGGTCTTCCAATGATGTTGGTTGAGTAGCATACATTTTGCTTTTTAAATGACCCCACATAAAGAAATCCAACGGTGATAAATCTGGCGATCTTGGGGGCCATTCAATGGCACCACTTCTACCAATCCATCGATCTGGAAACGTCTGATCTAAATATTGTCGAACACGTAATCGTTATGTGGTGGGGCACCATCCTGTTGGAACATCAAACTATTCGCAATGTACCGCCAATAATTCTGATTTTCAATTATGGCTGTTAATGCAGGATCTATGGCATCTTCCAGTAATTCCAAATACATTTCACCGGTCAAATTTCCAGGTAAGAAAAAAGGACCAACTACATCATCGCAAAAAATACCAGCCCAAACATTTAATTTTTGTGGCTGCTGTGTATGAACCTCATGATAAATTCTGGGATTAGAATCGGACCAATATCGTCAGTTATGACGATTTACTACGCCATTTAAGAAAAAGGAACATTCGTCGGAAAAGCAAGTGTTGAATAGAAAATGTTCATCATTTATAATTCGTTCACTCATATCTTCACAAAATTGTAATCGCCGATCAAAATCGTCTTCATTAAGTTCTTGTACCAGGTGAATTTTATACGGATGAAAACTATGGGCCTTTAGAATCCGTTAGACAGTACGTCGACTAACACCACACACAGTCTCCAATTTGCGGGTACTTAACGTAGGATCTACATAAACTTGCCCTAGAACCCCCACTTTTATTGCTTCGTTCCTTATGGGATTTTCAATGTTGCGTTTTTTTATCGGCGACTGACCCAGTTTCCCGAAATTTAGCTACAAGTTCTAGAACATATTTTCGATGCACGTAACTGTTCTCATGTCGCTCATTAAATATTTATGCTGTTCTAATAGCGCACTGATTATTTCCGAAAAATATTTCGATAATTTCAACTCTTTCTGCTGTGGAATATACCATGGTTAATTTATGTAATAAAGCGTTACAAGTTATTTTAGCAACAAAGTTTGGTTAAATTAATCGCAAACTATGTACTAAATTCTTATTTAAAATAAGTACGAGATATTTCCTTATCTTTCTTCAAGAAATAACTTTTTTGCCACAAAAAAGCGCTCCAACAGCTATTTTCAACAACAAAATGATAAACAAACCATGGGCGTAGTGAAGAAGAGCATTTACTTATTAAGTAAATTCTTTTAGTCAAATTTCTTCTGAAAGCAGTACAAACTAATCTGATGTACCTATTAAAGTCTACTTTAAGCTTTAAATCAATAAATCTTCATGTATTTTACATCATTGTAAAGGGAATTAAAAGACCTTTAAAATAAGTTATCACTCGACCCCCCTTTCCATTTAGGGTTTTAGGGTTGGTGTCAACCCCGCCCAGGGGGCTGCACGTGTTAACGTGATTTTTGGCCAAACTTGTGTCCCCCTGGAAAACAAAATCTACGGGTCTGAGTGTTTTTCCAAAAAAAAACTGAGCTGCCAGTACATGCATCTGTTTCGATTTCAATGCGCCACCCTGTATATTACAAGATGCCAATGGCCGTGAAATGCAAGCGTTCTTTGTTTGAGTATCGCTAGGAGTTTTTTAGATATAACATTTTTTTGTTTTCTATTTGCATAAGATGCATTACAGAGAATTGGAATGTAGTCGGTATCGGAAATAGTGAGGTATATAGAAACAATTAACATAAAACAAATAAGTATTTAATAAATATAACAAGGCACAAACATACAGGACTTGCATTTCACTTTTATTCATATATCCATCTAATGAATAAAAACAAACACACTATAAAGTTTTTTTTTTACTTTCCTCTGTAAGGTGCTAAAAGATGTAATGGATTTAATATGTAATGGCATTTTTTATATATAGTTAAGTCATCATGACTAAGTATTGTTCCGTTTGAAAGCAGTGTTAATATGGTGGTGCAACTATGTTAAGATTGGGTCTAAGGTCATTATGTGCAATCAATAAAATCCCTAGGTAAAAACTGAGTATAATTAGTCTTGACACATATAATGCAGCGATAAATATATAATGAAAAGATGGTCATAATGCCTGCTTTTCTGTAAATTTCCCGACATAAGTCACGCTTATTTTGAAATGCATGGTTCTCATAATTCATTTCTGAATGAGAAATACTTCATTTATGCGAGAACAGTTTCCCCAACAAATAACCTCATAGGGACTGTATTTGCGCAAAGTAATATGTCTTCAAAATAGATAAGCTGCAATATTCCCTGAATTGCCAAATTGCGTAACAGCATGTATTCAGTTTGCTAGAAACACTATCCGCGTGATTGGACCATGAATATATATAATATCCACTTAATCTTGTTTAGAACTCTGTGTTCTATTTAGAGAAAAAAATAGTGGGCGCTTTGAACTCTTCTTAGTGTCCCGGTACCGAGACACCATGTTAATCCGAGTTTGCAACTAGACAGTTGCATCTACTAAGGTTAAAGATCTAGAAAAAGCCTACTCAGGCAAATTGTTCTACAATCTCGACACCCTAGGGATAAGGGAGAAATCGTACCGGCCAGTTCTGGATATACGAAATCCGACACTTGGGATGCTAGGCCGAGGTCAGGCGAGTCTGCCTGGCAAGCTCGTAGCGCAGCGGCACCATGGAGGAAAGCTCGGAGGAGCAACACCCGTTTACAAAACGGTAGAAGCGAGCCGGATCGCCGACGGGCCGTTGGTGCGAAAGGGGCCCGGACTGTCCGTTAGAATATTCAGAGCAGCATCCGGCATGGAAAATGTAGTCGGGGCAGCAGCACCCCAAGAATGGGAGCAGCATTCGAGACTAGGTCTTATCTGAGCCGTGTACATTGTGATTACGATATGTGGGAAAAGTATTTTTTACTCCTAAATACATAGACTAGCTTTTTCCCAACAGCTGCCGCGATTGGCGAGATCAGCCGAAATCAACGCGAATCCAACAGAGATGACAGAAGGTTTGGAGGTTTAAATATAGAAAAACTACTACTTGTAGATGAAGAACATGGATGGGATTACGAAAGAATAATACATGAGAGCTGATCACATGCAAAGAATATTGTACACTTTGTTAATATTATCTGTTCCAAATTATAAATTATTTCGCACTTCTTGCCACATATCTGTTATTCTACCCAAGTTTAATTTTCAGTGGATAAAGAATTTATGTACTTTTTTGCAATTTTTCTAAGAAATTAATATTTTTTTTTGGTATTCGAAATCTAATACAATAAAAATAGTGTACCTACCTCAAAATATCTAACAAGTGATTTTAATCAGAACCATAAAATAAAGGAAAGTTTCAAATCAAATCACGTTTTCCTAAATAAGTCTGAACTTGCATTTTGCGACATTACACCTTTCGTCACTTGTGTCTTCAATTGTTAGGCCTACCTACCAGGCTTAGCCTCCCCACCACCAGTACTACTAGTAGAGTAATTTCGGGTAATATGGAATAGTACGGGTAATATGGAATAGCTTCTTATTTTTATGTAGGTAGCGACATCTGTATTTCAATACTTAAGCCAGCCTCTTTTACACCCTAAATACACAATAGCGTCGACAGGTTTCGCTGGTTGCCGTTCTCTAGTTTATAAACCGCAAATGAGCATTATTTGTGGTTACAAAGTTGTGCACGATAGTCATTAGAATTTTTGTAAAGGTGTTATTTATTTACAAATCTTGATTATTTTGACAGGTGAGTCTATTCAAATGTTAAGTTACTGTTTTAGAGGGCTGTTACCATATTTTTTTCTTAAAACATATTTGCAGCGTGTATTTTTTTCCTCAGTTGCTGTTTCGGGTAATATGGAATATTCCATATTATGCTGCTTCTAGGTATCCCATATTACCCGATGTTTTTGTTTTGAGATTTAACGATATTTGTGAAGAGACAAAAAGTCTAATTATCAGCAAAAATTGGGTCGTTTTGCGTATGAAACAAGTTTTTTTTGCAGAAACTATGTCGGCAAGAAAAAGAAAACAATGGCAGTCTGATGATATGCGCAAAGCAATTGAAGATGTTAGAAATAACAGGTTGGGTTATTTGTCAGCTGCAAAACGTTATAACATTCCACGAGCAACACTTCATCGCTTGTGCAATAAAGAAGGTTCTCCTGATACTGTTTGCAGTACTACATTAGGCCGAAAAACAGCTTTGCCACCGGAATTGGAAACAGAACTAGTGAAGTATTTGTTGATCATGGATCAAATGTATTATGGATTAACCAGAAAAGATTTGCGATCCATGGCTTTTCAGCTGGCTCGACGCAACAGCCTTCCACATCCATTTTCATTTTTACGAGAATCAGCTGGAAAAGACTGGTTGTATGGTTTTATGAAAAGGCACAAAGCTTCTTTGAGCATTCGAAAACCAACTGGCACTTCTCTAAATAGAGCTCTCGGTTTTAATAAGGAAGGCGCCAATGAGTTTTTTAACCTGCTTGAGAAACTTATGACAGAAAAAAACTTTCATTGTGACAGGATTTACAATGTTGATGAGACGGGGTTATGTATTGTACAATCCAAATGTCCCGAAGTTGTCTCAAAAAGAGGCAAACGACAAGTAGGTGTACTAACGTCGGCCGAGCGAGGCTCCTTAGTGACAGCAGTTTTATGTATGAATGCAGCAGGAGGGTTCGTGCCACCCATGATTATTTTCCCTCGCAAAAATTCGAGTGAGCAGCTTAAGAAAGGAGCTCCTCCGGGCACTTTGTTTGCGTTTCACCCCTCGGGATGGATTCAGACTGAGCTCTTCACTAAATGGTTTGACCATTTTTTGGAAAGGACAAACCCCACCAAAGACAGTCCAGTACTCCTTATTTTAGATGGGCATCACACTCACACTCGAAATATTGACGTAGTTATAAAAGCCCGAGAAAATTTTGTAACAATATTATGTTTGCCTCCTCATACATCGCATAAAATGCAGCCTCTGGATAAAACAGTCATGGGTGCCCTGAAAACTTTCTACAATGAGGAAGTATGGCTATTTATGCGGGCACATAATAGAGCCGTAACACATTTTGATATGGGCGAGATATTTGGAAGAGCCTATACAAAAATCCAGACTGCGGAAAGGTCAATAAAGAGATTCAGTACAACTGGCATTTACCCCTTTCGACGAGATGTTTTCTCCGATGAAGACTTCTTAGCCGAACAGCAAAGACATCATGTGCCCCATCCTGTCACAGCAGATTTCCCAGAAAATAATGAACCAGCGCTATGTCATTCACCAAACATTCTCCCCAAGGATATCGCACCAATACCACAACTGAAAAAAAAATAGGCTCGAGAGGAAGAAAACCTGGTCGTGCAAGGGTGGTAACCTCAACTCCGAATAAAGTGGAGTTAGAGGAATCTATTAATCGTTCACGTGACAAAGTTACTAAGAGACTAGTCAATGAAGCAGGACCAAGTTCTCTTAAACAATCTGCGAAGAAAAAGCGAAAAGCACGTTCACCATCAACATCATCTTCATCATTAACATCTTCTTCAGAACCCGTTCCCGCAAACTCCTCTGATGAAGATGATCTCCCTCTGTCATCTTATATTAGTCCCAAGCAATGTGCTGATGACATGACGGAATGTATTTTTGTCAAGAGATGTTCAGGATGAGTAAAAGCAGAGAGGTATGGGTGAAATGTGTCATTTGTAATGGATGGGCTCATGAAGCTTGCACAAGTTGTGAAGGTGATATCTACATTTGCGATTTTTGCAAATAAAATTAAGGTCTATCTAATTTGTTTTATATTTGTTAAATTACCTAACGTGAAGAATTAAACTTGTTTTTTCTTATTTTTCGTATGATTTACCCTATTCCATATTACCCCATATACCTATTCCATATTATACTTCTCTTTTGTTTGACAGATGAAAGTAACTAATTGGAAAGTATTTTTCTCTACACAAAAATGAGGTTTGCTTCAGTTGATCTGGTGGTAAGCAATTGTTAGGTAACATCGTATAAGTGTTTCAACAAATTTTCAGAGGAAAAGGTGTATTATTTTTTCAGTTATTGAGAGAAATGAAAATGGTATTCCATATTACCCGAAATTACTCTACTAATACTACTACTAAGCAAAATAAAATACAGTAAATAGAAACTTCTATCATGTTTCTCACTATTTACTATTTTTCATAGATAACGCCTTTGCATGTTTCCTATCAATAGTCACAATAATAACGATAACGAACGCTATGAGTGTGAAACCAGCCTAAATCCCACCGTACAGTAACCAAGGCGCCTTATCGCAAAAGTTTTAATTGGTGTTGAAAAGTGGCAATCATTGTCCGTAATTACCTTTTGCTTTGTGCCTAATGATCTTCAGAACAGTCGCAGGAGCCAGCGAGGAGCGTTTGAATTTTAAGCCAACAGCCGAGCAGATTTCTTTGAGGGTACCAGAAACAATCTGTCGTTGATTAAAGGCCGTGCCAGACGAAAATAGTTTTTCTCAATCTGATCGCTTGTGGAAATTACGATGGGATCCAGAAGCATTATTAATGTAGTAGAGGGAGGATTTGATAGAACTTAGGCCCGTATCGTCAGTCGTCCCTACAATTGTAGGACGCATTTATGGCCTCCTTGATTGTCATACTCCTTTCTATCGTTCAAAAATTTCTTGATTACACTTGTCCCGTGTCAGCGTCACCGCTCTCCTATTGTGAAGATATGTTTTCTTTTCACATTGTAGGAAAATGCAAGCTGATAAAACATGATATAACTCAAAAGCAAGCAGAATTTGATGCAAATAGATGTTTGTGACATAACCTCAAAATAGAGCGCTGACACGGAGAAGTAGAAAACTATGACAATCAAGGAGGCCATAAAGGCGCCCTACAATTTATTGTAGGGACGACTGACGATACGGGCCTTAATGTCTTTGTCTTCAAATTGAACATTCTCATGTTTTGTGTCAGAATCTGATCACATACCAGTAGCTTATATCAAAGGCAAGTAAAGTGGATAATTTAAAAAAATGTGGCACTATAGTGTTTGGCAATCACAACCACCTCGTAAATAAACGTTAACTTTCACCTTTTTTTACATTTAAATCAATGTGCGTGACTAATAAAGTTTTAGCGGAATAAGCTTCTGCCGACTTTTATTAGCGCTTTTCATAAAGCTGCTATATACAGAAGTTGCATGAAGTGGGAGCGCCGCATCTGTCAAAAATCGTCACCCTTCTTGACGGGTCAAAGTAAGACTACCAGTATCTCTTTATATACATATATACTAAGTGAAATCCGAACACCTAGTTTAACACATTGACTGCGAACTGGGATGAGGATACCCACCTCAGAAACTGAAATACTTTTTTCCTTTTTTTGGAAGCCGGCAGAGAGCGTCGAAAGACGCCGTTCGCCTCCCACCACAGGAGCGGAGGGCGTCTTTTGACGCTGTTCGCACTGAACGTGTTAAATGGTTTTATTTTAATAAAAGTTGGTGAATGTATTTATCTTGCTGTAAATAACAAGTGAAAAAATTTTCAGCCTTATCAGTTGGACATTCCGGTTTTTATACTGCTTTTTTTTTAATACACTAACGCTCTAAAATTAAATATTTCAGCCGCAGTAAAGAATCAACGTTGGCGGATTTTGGTTCTTGACATCCTTTACGATCGATTACGATGCCTAGAGTACGGAGACCTGTACGATTTCGTCAACTTAGTGAGTTTGATAGGGGCCGTATAGTGGGACTTCGGGAAGCTGGACTTCCTTTTCGGGCAATTGCAGTTAGAGTGCAAAGAAGTGTAGACACTGTGGTTAGGTGTTGTCAGGCATGGTTTCGAGAAGGCCGTACGCAAAGAGCAAGGGGCACTGGACGCCGCCGTAGAACAACAGACCGTGAAGATCGCCGCCTAAGATTATTGGCCTTAAGGGACCGTTTCTCCACTACCAGGTCCATTGCAAATGAATGGTTTGCAGAACACGGAAGACCTATTGGCATGCGAAGTGTTTACCGACGAATGAGAAGTTTTGGCTTGTTTTCATACCGGCCACACTGGGTCCTTCCTTTAACTCGAGAACACCGACGTAATCGCCTTGAGTGGTGCAGACAACGGTCACTCTGGGATCAGGAATGGAACAGTATTGTCTTTAGTGACGAGTCTCGATTTTGTTTAGGCATGCACGATGGTCGTGCCAGGGTTAGAAGGCGACGTGGTGAAAGGAGGAATCCACAGTTTTTTGTTGAAAGACATGTTCATCACACTGTTGGAGTTATGGTTTGGGGTGCTATAGCTTATGGTTCCAGGTCACCTTTAATCTTCATCAGAGGTAACATGAACGCGCAGCGTTATATCCGCGAAGTTCTGGAACCCCATCTTTTACCGAATATTGACACCCTGGCAGATCCAACTTTCCAACAAGATAATGCCCGACCACATTGCAAGAGTCACAATAGACTTCTTTCAACATAATGATGTCACATTGTTACCATGGCCACCAAGATCTCCCGACTTATCCCCAATTGAGCACGTGTGGGATATGATTGGTAGGAGATTGTTCAATTTGCAACGTCCACCTCAGACTCTAGAAGCACTTCGAGAGGAGTTGGTGGTTGCCTGGAATGAGATACCACAGGAGGACATTGACCACTTGATCAGAAGCATGCCTAGGCGCGTTGGAGAATGCGTAGCACATCAGGGTGCATCCACACATTATTAAAGGTCAAAGCTTTAAAGCAGTGCAATCATTTTGAAATTTTTATCATTTACTTATTATGCTTCATCAAGTACTTATACAAAATTTTATTAAAATAAAACCATTTAAACTGGGTGTTCGGATTTATATGTCACTTTGTATATATATATATAAATCATGGGCAAAATCCGCAAAAAGAAGGAAAGTGGATTCGAGCAGAAAATAGGATAGGTAACCCGAGCGATACGTATTTCTGCTGGTTGGCTTCATCAAGCCCGAAATGAATGCACATATTTATGCAACTACAAAAGTAGATATACATGCGCATACATCCGGATATGGGTGTAACCTGAGGAAACAAAGATGGAGAGGGAAAAAAATCATACACGAAGTTCACAACAAGAGCCAACCTACACATTGTAGTACCTTTCTCCGCATGATCATTTTCTATATATATATATATATATATATATATATCCATCTCCCTCATACATACACGTGCAACCTACCCCTGTGTGTGAATTTTTGTTGGGTAAGCTCAAAGAAATACGTTTTTTAGTTGTGTGTATCCGTCTCGAAAACTTTGTTGTTACGTATGAGTGCGCTTCAATCATATTTGTCAAAGTGACAACTTACTTGACATAGGCGTGCAATTTACGTTGTTCTGTTATAAACCTTCAATATAAAATTGTACAATGCCCGGAAGTACGATCAATGGAGAAAAGGCCGTCAGCTCGTGCTAAATTTATTAGAATATTTCCAGGAAGAGAATGAAGACAGCGGTTCCCTGTTACCCACTTACTAGAGAGAGTAGCAGATGCGCTGAATATTAGTCTGCGCCCATGGTACGGAGACGCGATTTGTTTACTTATTTCATATGGCGTTAAGAACGGTAACTACAACTATAGCAGCTTAAGCGCACACAATTATTTATAATTTTCAAATGGTATTAACACCAACGTTTAAATATGCATAATGTGTGATTGCCAGGCTCCTTTATTATCTCCAAGACAGATAGTATGTGATGAAAATTACAAAGTACTGTTAGCGGTAGTCATAAGTCCTGAATTGCACCTTAAGACGTGTGATGAAAAACTGTGTTTTGTAGTGGATGAACGTGTCAACTCAAAATTTTGTACATATGTTTAGCAGAACCATTATAAGCAAACTTTTTTTGATTCACACCACCCTAGGGGCGTAATCTGAGACGTCTTGATCCTTAAAAAAGAAGCACATTTTTTACACGTCACTGATTTTCTTAAATATCATCACATTTTTAAACAAGTTATCTATTCTAAATGATTTATGTACCACGATAAATGTTTGTTTAGACTATAGAAAAAATTGGTTTGAATACATAAAGTAAGATTCATAAGAATTAACAACCTTATTATGTACTTTGAAATAATATGATGGAATTAGTGAAGTTTGACATTAAAATTGTTCGTAGCGTAATAAGGGAGTAATGCTATCTTACTACAACGTTATTTGAAGAATATTCATGTTTCAAAATTCATTATTTTTGTAGGACTTTATATGATCCTTTTATAATATTTTGCGACTCTACAAATTGATAAAAATCATAGGCCAGCAGATTTTTTGCTGGAAAGACGAATGGGATATTATAAATAGAATGTGATGGGT